GACGGACCAGTGATGACGGACCAGTGATGACGGACCAGTGATGGACCAGTGATGATGGACTAGTGATGGACCAGTGATGGACCAGTGATGACGGACCAGTGATGGACCAGTGATGACGGACCAGTGATGACGGACCAGTGATGACGGACCAGTGATGACGGACCAGTGATGGACCAGTGATGGACCAGTGATCACGGATCAGTGATGGACCAGTGATGACGGACCAGTGATGACGGACCAGTGATGGACCAGTGATGACGGACCAGTGATGACGGACCAGTGATGACGGACCAGTGATGACGGACCAGTGATGGACCAGTGATGGACCAGTGATGACGGACCAGTAATGGACCAGTGATGACGGATCAGTGATGACGGACTAGTGATGGACCAGTGATGACGGACCAGTGATGGACCAGTGATGACGGACCAGTGATGGACCAGTGATGACGGACCAGTAATGGACCAGTGATGACGGACCAGTGATGACGGACCAGTGATGGACCAGTGATTACGGATCAGTGATGACGGACCAGTGATGGACCAGTGATGACGGACCAGTGATGACGGACCAGTGATGGACCAGTGATGACGGACCAGTGATGACGGACCAGTAATGGACCAGTGATTACGGACCAGTGATGGACCAGTGATGACGAACCAGTGATGACGGACCAGTGATGACGGACCAGTGATGACGACCAGTAATGGTCCAGTGATGACGGACCAGTAATGGTCCAGTAATGGACCAGTGATAACGGACCAGTAATGGTCCAGTGATGACGGACCAGTGATGGACCAGTGATGACGGATCAGTGATGGACCAGTGATGACGGACCAGTGATGACGGACCAGTGATGGACCAGTGATGACGGACCAGTGATGACGGACCAGTGATGACGGACCAGTGATGGACCAGTGATGGACCAGTGATCACGGATCAGTGATGGACCAGTGATGACGGACCAGTGATGACGGACCAGTGATGGACCAGTGATGACGGACCAGTGATGACGGACCAGTGATGACGGACCAGTGATGACGGACCAGTGATGACGGACCAGTGATGGACCAGTGATGACGGACCAGTGATGACGGACCAGTAATGGACCAGTGATGACGGATCAGTGATGACTGACTAGTGATGGACCAGTGATGACGGACCAGTGATGGACCAGTGATGACGGACCAGTGATGGACCAGTGATGACGGACCAGTAATGGACCAGTGATGACGGACCAGTGATGACGGACCAGTGATGGACCAGTGATTACGGATCAGTGATGACGGACCAGTGATGGACCAGTGATGACGGACCAGTGATGACGGACCAGTGATGACGGACCAGTGATGGACCAGTGATGACGGACCAGTGATGACGGACCAGTAATGGACCAGTGATGGACCAGTGATGACGAACCAGTGATGACGGACCAGTGATGACGGACCAGTGATGATGACCAGTAATGGTCCAGTGATGACGGACCAGTAATGGTCCAGTAATGGACCAGTGATAACGGACCAGTAATGGTCCAGTGATGACGGACCAGTGATGGACCAGTGATGACGGATCAGTGATGGACCAGTGATGACGGACCAGTGATGACGGTCCAGTGATGACGGACCAGTAATGGACCAGTGATGATGTCGCAGTGATGGACCAATGATGGACCAGTGATGATGTAGCAGCGATGGACCAGTGATGACGGACCAGTAATGGACCAGTGATGATGTCGCAGTGATGGACCAGTGATGATGTAGCAGTGATGGACCAGTGATGACGGACCAGTAATGGACCAGTGATGACGGATCAGTGATGACGGACCAGTGATGACGGACCAGTAATGGACCAGTGATGAGGTCGCAGTGATGGACCAGTGATGACGGACCAGTGATGATGTCGCAGTGATGGACCAGTGATGATGTAGCAGTGATGGACCAGTGATGACGGACCAGTGATGGACTAGTGATGTACCAATGATGATGTACCAGTGATGTACCAATGATGATGTACCAGTGATGGACTAGTGATGAACCAGTGATGGACCAGTGATAACGAACCATCAATTCATTGAATACCCGAAATAAATCATTTTATATTTACCTTTTACTGAAAATTTCCACTTAAATATTCAGTGACAGTAAAGTGCTATGCTCTTTACGATTTTATTATATACTTTTGTGTATAATTTGAGCAGGTTCTTATGTATATTTCTTTTGTATGACTTTTTATGTTCTTTTCTAATGTTCGGGAGTCAGGGTTTTTATGGGAATAAATACCGTGTTGGGCTGTTTATCCTACTGCACCTTACTGGTCAGTAAGGTGCAGTAAGGCTCTTACTGAACACTTGGACGGTCGGGGATTGAACGTCGACCTGCATGAAGCGAGACCGTCGCTCTACCGTCCACCCCCAGATGGTTGAAACGAAAAAGGAGGAAGGCTAATACACAGAAAACTATAAAGATATATGTGAGGAGCTCAATTCCAGCTGGCATATAATGTCCACAACAGAGCCTGAGCCCTCAGCGAGCCTCTGGCACTGATCTTTAACGAGTCACTTGAACCAGACAGCGTATCCCCATAGATGTTAAAAGAAGCAGCACAGGCCCTCAGCGAGCCTCTGGCAATGATCTTTAACGAGTCACTTGGACCGGACAGTGTATCCCCATAGATGTTAAAAGAAGCAGCACAGGCCCTCAGCGAGCCTCTGGCAGTGATCTTTAATGAGTCACTTGGACCAGACAGCGTATCTCCATAGATGTTAAAAGAAGCAGCACAGGCCCTCAGCGAGCCTCTGGCAGTGATCTTTAACGAGTCACTTGGACCAGACAGCGTATCCCCATAGATGTTAAAAGAAGCAGCACAGGCCCTCAGCGAGCCTCTGGCAGTGATCTTTAACGAGTCACTTGGACCGGACAGCGTATCCCCATAGATGTTAAAAGAAGCAGCACAGGCCTTCAGCGAGCCTCTGGCACTGATCTTTAACGAGTCACTTGGACCGGACAGCGTATCCCCATAGATGTTAGAAGAAGCAGCGCAGGCCTTCAGCGAGCCTCTGGCACTGATCTTTAACGAGTCACTTACACATACAGGGGGAGTTGCCAAACTGCTGCAAGAAGGCAAACGTGGTGCCAATCTACAAGAAAGGAGATAGAGAAGAGGCACTTAACTACAGACCAGTGCCACTTGATGTTTATAAACAAAACATCAATTGATGTTTGTAAACAAACATCAATTTGAAAACATGGCTTTAGGGAAGGGAAATATATCCTCCTCCTACATCCTACAATCCTCCTACAACACCTTACTACAATCTCCTACAACTCATTACTACAATTACCTAGAACACGCTACTACAATCACGTACAATACGTTATTGCAATCTCCTACAACACGTTATTACAATCACCTACAACACATTATTACAATCTCCTACAACACATTATTACAATCTCCTACAACACGTTATTACAATCTCCTACAACACATTATTACAATCTCCTACAACACGTTATTACAATCTCCTACAACACGTTACTACAATCTCCTACAACACGTTACTACAATCTCCTACAACATGTTACTACAATCACCTACAACACGTTACTACAATCTCCGCTTCGTTTCCGTTTCCGCCTCTGCTGGGAATCGAACCCGGATCCCTTAGGACTCCAACTCCTGAGCGCTGTCCACTCAGCCGCGAGACCCCCCCTCCTTTGTACTCACCTAGTTGTATTCTTCTAGTTGTGCTTGCTGCACTCCAGTATGTGTCTATTGCCTTCTAGATCCTTCCATAATCTGTTCATGAGTTTCCAGTACCTTCCAGTTCACGAGTTTCCAGAAGGATCCAATGTGTGTTTCTGCCACAGAACCTTCCAGTAATCCTCAACAACTGGAACACCGCCGTAGAGTCTCAACAATATTCCCTCCACAAGCAACTTTAACAATTTATGGGCGGGTCTCCCGGGGCGAGGGTGGGCAGTCAGGGCGTGAAATATGGCCCCCGCGCCGCCACGCTCAACGCCGCTCCTGATTCACGCCGGCAGTCAGGGTGTGAAATATGGCTCCCGCGCCGCCACGCTCAACGCCGCTCCTGATTCACGCAGGCAATCAGGGCCTGAAATATGGCTCCCGCGCCGCCACGCACAACGCCGCTCCTGATTCACGTGGGCAGTCAGGGCCTGAAATATGGCCCCCGCGCCGCCACGCTCAACGCCGCTCCTGATTCACGCGGCAATATCCGCGGTCCAGGCGCCCACGACGCTATCCAGGAATGGTGAAGTTTGCAGAGGATGCAAGAATGGTAAACCAGTTTTAGGCCGAGGCTTTCAGAAGCTTCCTGGATCTTTCGGAAGCTTCCAGAAGCTTCAAGGAGGTTCTAGAGGCTTCCGTAAGCTTACAGAAGCTTCCTGGACCTTCCAGAAGCTTCCAGGAGCTTCCATAAGCTTCCAGGAAATTCCAGAAGTTCCCGTTTAGGCGAAAAAAGGTTCCAGTAGTAGTGGCATATGGCTCATAGAAGGACCGTTTTGCTTTTTTCGACGGTCCCTCTATGAGTCGAGCATTTTTCGTAACCCCGCTGACCCTTGCACAGACATCGCTAATGGTCAATGACGTCACCAAGTCTTCATCTTCCCTGCATAAGCCCGTTTACTGTTATGGTGTATTTATTCCCAACCCATACTTATCTAGACGTTTTTTATTTATAGTGTCCCAAATTTTTTCCGGGGACTGTCGTAGCCACAGGGGTGTTTTCAATTTTTTTCCGACGGCTGCCTCTAGCCCAGGGTATGTTTTTCAATTTTTATTTGTTAGTGCCTCGTAGTCTCCTAATCTTTTCATTCATTTATCATCCGATCTCGTTCATCATATGTAATTTTCCAAACAAAGGAGATTAAAAGGTACCCTCCTAGACCCTGCCATTTTGGTTTCCATTTCATTTATGGTTTCCAGATGTTCTAACATTGGCTACTAAATGTTTCAACACTGGCTTCTAGAGGTTTCAACACTGGCTTCTAGAGGTTCCAACACTGGCTTCAAAAAACAGATGTGCAGTATAGAGGCTTTCAGGGCTTGTGTAATCCAAGAACTCTGTTTTAGGGGTTATAGACTCCAATGGGGTCCAAGGGGGTCCAAGGACTTCCAAGGGGGTCCAAAGAGGTCCAAGGGGGTCCAAGGGGATCCAAGGTTGTCCAAGGAGGTCCAAGGTTGTCCAAGGAGGTCCAAGGGGGTCCAAGGAGGTCCAAGGGGGTCCAAGGTTGTCTAAGGAGGTCCAAGGTTGTCCATGGAGATCCAAGGGGGGTCCAAGGAGGTCCAAGGGGGTCCAAGGTTGTCCAAGGGGGTCTAAGGAGGCCCAAGGGGGTCCAAGGAGGTCCAAGGTTGTCCAAGGAGGTCCAAGGTTGTCCAAGGAGGTCCAAGGGGGTCCAAGGGGGTCCAAGGAGGTCCAAGGTTGTCCAAGGAGGTCCAAGGAGGTCCAAGGTTGTCCAAGGAGGTCTAAGGGGGGTCCAAGGAGGTCCAAGGGGTCCAAGGAGGTCCAAGGTTGTCCAAGGAGGTCCAAGGTTGTCCAAGGAGGTCCAAGGTTGTCCAAGGAGGTCCAAGGTTGTCCAAGGAGGTCCAAGGAGGTCCAAGGTTGTCCACGGAGGTCCAAGGTTGTCCAAGGAGGTCCAAGGGGGTCCAAGGGGGTCCAAGGAGGTCCAAGGTTGTCTAAGGAGGTCCAAGGTTGTCCAAGGAGGTCCAAGGGGGTCCAAGGAGGTCCAAGGGGGTCCAAGGTTGTCCAAGGAGGTCCAAGGTTGTCCAAGGAGGTCCAAGGTTGTCCAAGGAGGTCCAAGGATGTCCAAGGAGGTCCAAGGTTGTCCAAGGAGGTCCAAGGAGGTCCAAGGTTGTCCAAGGAGGTCCAAGGGGGTCCAAGGAGGGTCCAAGGGTGGTCCAAGGAGGTCCAAGGGGGGTCCAAGGAGGTCCAAGGAGGTCCAAGGTTGTCCAAGGAGGTCCAAGGTTGTCCAAGGAGGTCCAAGGTTGTCCAAGGAGGTCCAAGGTTGTCCAAGGAGGTCCAAGGTTGTCCAAGGAGGTCCAAGGTTGTCCAAGGTTGTCCAAGGTTGTCCAAGGAGGTTAAAGGTTGTCCAAGGAGGTCCAAGGAGGTCCAAGGTTGTCCAAGGAGGTCCAAGGTTGTCCAAGGAGGTCCAAGGTTGTCCAAGGAGGTCCAAGGTTGTCCAAGGAGGTCCAAGGTTGTCCAAGGAGGTCCAAGGGGGTCCAAGGGGGTCCAAGGAGGTCCAAGGTTGTCCAAGGAGGCCCAAGGGGATCCAAGGGGGTCAAGGAGGTCCAAGGGAGTCCAAGGGGGTCCAAGGGGAGGGGTCCAAAGGAGTCCAATGGGCTGTGGGAATCCTATAAACGTTTCCCAGGGAAGGTGGCAACGTTCCAGAGC